CAGAGGCTAAGGGAGAGGGAGAGGCAGGGAGAGGGAGAGGCAGGGAGAGGGAGAGGGCGAGGCGCCGCAGCCAAGCTACCCCACCATCTCCAGCTGGCGCCCAGGCCGCCCACTATACCCTGTCCCGCTGAGTATCTGACGCTGCGACGTCAGCGGTGACAAATGTCAGTCGGTGGTTGCACTACTAATCGGACATGTTGCGTTGACTTGTTTATGACTTGCAGCTTAGCACGCACATAAACACATTCACACACACTCTCGCACACTCGCACACACACACTCGAGACGTGTTTTTTGTAATGTTTGCGGACTTGTGGGAAATCTGTAAATAGCTGCAAAAGCCATCGACGTCGCCCAAGAGACAAAGCACTCGTCATCAAAGCTGTTGTCGTGCTTGATGCTGAGGCTGATGCTGTCGCTGTTGCTGCTCTTGCGCTGGTTCTTGTTGTTGTTGTTACTGCTGCCCGGCAGCACCCGCGGGAATAAAACCAGACAGTCAGCCAGATAGGCAACAACAATCAACACATTGACTGCCATTTTCGTAGCGCTGCACGCGGCGTATGCGTAATCTTTGAATAGCAAAAGTCCTTCATCTCAAACTTGCTGGCGTTTTTGTTTAAAACTAAAACAATTTTGGTCAATGCCAACATTTTCTATGTGGCTTGAACTTTTGCTTTTATGCTGCATTTAAGATTTTTTATTTTTTTTTCTCAATTTATTTTTGATAAGTAAAATATTTGACTTGACTTGATTTCCTTTTGACAAAATTTGGTATGTGTAAATTTTATTTTTTAACAATTGCTTATATTAAAATATATTGTAAGTGTAAATAAAATAGAGGCTGAGTTTTTTTTTTTTTTGAAATTTATTATCAGATATTATAAAAATAATTTTGCTTGTTAAACTGTGCAAGCTTTAAGCCAAAAGATTTTCTGATGTTTTTTTTTATATTAACTAATTTAGCTGCTGTATTGAAATGTTATTCATTTTTTTAGAAATATTTATCTAGTGTTTAAATTATATAAATAAATATTAATTATATTTAATTTTCTATAATTATATATAATATAATTATAAATATATAAATATAATTTCTATAATGAATTAACTGCTAGCTTGTTAGGACAACTTGGATGCTTTTTTCTACATTCATTAGTAAGTTTTTTGAAGAAAGACAAAACATATTTAAGAGACTTAAGCTTTTAGGTAAATTATCTAAAACATTCTGAAGTGAGCCAACTTCAGAACTTTTGTTTTTTTTTTTTTTATAAAAATGCTTTAAAATTGAATTTATGTTTCTAATAGATTTACTGTTTCAAAATTAATTTTGAAATTCTACTGAGACATGGAGTTTTATATTACATACTATATATTATATACTGTCATAAAAGTATATTACATTTAAAAATATATTAAGTACGCATTTTTTGTTCAAAATGTCGAATCTTTAATCATTTAGTATTAATAATTGTGTCTTCGCTATGCTCTCTTAATTTAGTAAAAACTGATTTGCTGCAAGCTTAAGCCAAAATTCATTTGAATAATCAGTAAATTTAGTTCATTTTAAAAATTTTTTTGCTGTTAAAAATAAAAGTAATTCATACTCTATAAGTAATTCTATAACTATATCTATCCAAAGTTCTTTCATAACTTTCTAACTTTGGATTAATTAAGAGTTCGAAATTCGCTTCAGGTTTAATTTTTCAATGTTTCAATGTTGACATTTATTTCAAATTTTCGATTTTAATATTTATTATTTATTTATATTTAAAATATCCCAGCTCGAATTCGAAATTAGCATTTTAATTTTTAAAAATTTAGAATATTTTATATATTATTATTTTTTAAATTATATGTGGAACCGCTTGATAGTTTTATGAGTGAAAATAAAAAAGTAGAGTATCTGCTAGTCTACAACTTGAGCAGCTGTGGCACTTATTTTGTATTGGCTTTCGGTTTCTCTTTGTTGTTGTAGTTGCTGCTGCTGTTTGCAATGGCAGGCGGCAATTACGCGTCACGCAGCTGGACGTCGCGGCAAGCAACGCGATTTCCGAATGGCGAGCTGTGAGTGTACCGAGCACGCAGCTCGCGGCTCGCAGCTCGCAGCTCGCAGCTCGCAGCTCGTTTCGTTCGGTTCGAGCTGCAGAACACACACAAATTGCCAGTGTAGGACAAGGTCGCATTTATTTGGTGCAGCCGCAATTGGGCAGCGCAAGCGAGGGAGGAGGAGGAGGTGGAGGCGGAGGCGACGCCGGGCAGTTGATGGGGGAGGCAATGGCTAAGAGTTTGCGATTTGTATGGATAAGTTGCGAGGGTTGGGCTGGTGCATGCTGCGTACGAAGGTTACCTGGCACACACGCACAGCCTCAGCTTCATAAAAAGAGAGAGACACAGTGAGAAAGAGGGGGCGAGAGGGAGGGAGACGCGTTGACAGAAATGTTGAAAAATTATGAAATGAATACAAATATTTGCGGATCAGAGCAAAAAAGAGTCATCGCCATTGAATGTCGCCTTCGATGCGACGACAAAGTGCAAATCAAATGTGATAGATGATCTCAATGCAGAAAAGAAAAATGAAAATAAAACGCAAATAAAATTGGAAAAGCCAGCCGAATGAGAGACAGCTTGAAGCTGAAGCATCTGCAGGTAGCAAAGCTTTTTCTATCAGAGGCTATTACGTTTCACCTATGCAGGCAAGACAAACACAAGTCAAGTGTATAAATTCACATATCCAAATGTCACCAAAGAGAAGTATTAAATATTTACAGCATGATTCATGTTGGGCATTTGCGCTGGCTTAAATGCTTAAGCATATTTCCATGAAAAGTGACAGCGATTTAATTAGCATTAGAATCGGTTTAACTTCTAGTTAATAACTAGCAACTGTTTGATTTCAGTGGAAGTTCCAGATTTATGCTATTTCAATTTATTGTGAATCAACTAAAAAGCTTAAACGTTTTACAACCACGTCAGCTTTAGCCGAGCTAGACTTTTTGTAATCTCCACGTGACGATTTCTAATTGGCTTTAATAGCTGCATTATCTGAGTGTAATATTTATATAAATTATATTAAACTAATATTTTGCTCTCAAATATTTATTAATATTATTTTTTTTATTAATTTTATGCAATTTATTATTATTTTTATAAATTTTTATTTATTAATAATTTCTTATTTACTGTTTTATTATTACTTTTTATTATATTTTATATTTTCTATTTACTTTTTTACTATAAATCAATTTTTACTTATTATTTTTTATATTGCTTAATTTTTTAATTTTCAATAATATTTATTAAACTTTTTTTTTTTATTTAAATTTCTATTTACTTAATAATAATATTTATTAATAAATAATATTTATTAAACTTTTATTTTTATTTAAATTTCTATGTACTTAATAATAATATTTATTAATAAATAATATTTATTAAACTTTTATATTTATTTAAATTTATATTTACTTAAATTTATTTAAATTTTTATTTATTTTATTTTTAGTATCCTTTAAGATTATAACTTTTTATTATATGAAATTTTTTCTTAAACTATTTTATTTTATATTTCATATTAATTTTGCAAAAGTTTCATTGCAAATATCAATAAATAACAACAAACTTATTACAATATTCCACCTTTCCTCAGCCTCTTCAGCCAAAAGCTTTACTTTTTAACTTCTATCAGTTACGGCCTGTTCTAAATACTTTATCAATCTAAAGTTTTTAGTTTCTCGCTTGAGTATTGTCTATTAAAAGTTGTTCCTTTTAGGCGCAAAAACAAAGCATAGCCAAATATGCAAGCAAAACTATTGCGAAGCACTGATTAATGACAAATTGTGCGGCATGCAAACTGCAAAAATGTTTTCTATTTTTTTGTTGTTATTTTTTGTTCTTTTAGACCCAATTCCACTGGCCATCATCCAAGTCATTTAAAGTGCTTGCAGAGCCCACAAAAAAAAGAAAGAAAAGGTTGTTAGTAACTCAGCTCAACCACCTTCTGTGTGGCTACCCGCTGTCTCCCGCGCTCTCACTCTGTCTGCTGCCGCTGTGTGACCCCCTTGAATAGCGCCTCCACATCTTATCCCCCTTTACACCCTGTCTGCCCCCTCGACTCTCTGCCACGTCTTTTTGCCCTTTCTCCTTGTCTGTTGTTGACGCTTCTACCGTTCGCTGGTTTAGTTTTTCTTTTAGCTTACTTTGCGTTCCGCTGCTGCTGCTGCTGTTGTTGTTGTTGTTGCACATTTTATTAACATTTTCATTTAGTTGCATGTGCTCTCTCTCTCTCTCTCTGTCGCTCGCTCGCTCGCTCTCTTCTGCTTTATTTTGCTTTTCATTGCAATTTGTGTTTCTATGCATTTTTGTGTGTGTTTTACATTCGTTTTTCGTGTCGCACCGCCAAAGCCACCCACTGCCCAGCTGCAGCAGCAACATACCGGCAGGGGTGGCCCCCCTCCACCTGCGCTCATGTTGCAACATTGTTGCCACTGTTGCGCTCTTTTGCAGTTTGTTGAAGTTTTCATAATCATTGTCGTCGTCGTCGCAGTCGCAGCCTTTGCTTTAGTTTTTGTTACTGTTTCTATCTGCATTTGTTGTTGTTGTTGCTGTTTTTTTTAAGCTTTCGGCTGGCTCTGTGAGATTTTGCAGCTTGAAAACAATGGCGGGAAAGCGGCTTATTTTCTATGATTTAAATAATGACGAAGACAACAGTCAGCAGCCACCATCATCATCAGCAGCAGCATCATTATGATCCCTGATACAATGGCAGCGAGACATCATTGATATAAGATATAAGTCGGACTAGTTGTTGTTGCTCTTGTTCATAATATAAACATTTATCTTTTGTACTACGTCACTTAGTGTATACGCTCTATTTGTATATATATATATGTATATATATGTATATGTATATGTATATATATATATATATATATATATATATATATATATATCTATTCTGCTAATGTCTGCTAAATTCCTTCTTCTTTTTTGTCTCTTTATAGCAAAATGTTCATTGGCGGCCTCAGCTGGCAGACCAGCCCAGGTAAGTCTTGCCCCACATCTCAAACGAATATTAGAAATTAGTCAAAAGTTGCTAAAATCTTGCAAGCACTCAATTAGCATTACTTTTGCTTATATATGTGTATATATGGGTATATTACAGTTCTATGTTAACCAGATGCCTAAAGCCTATTAGTATATAGGCATATCTATATCAATATCTATAGCTATATACATATATTTATAGCTATATCTGTATCTGTAGCTATATCTATATTTATATCTATCTCTCTATTTGCATAGTGGGAATATCTCTAATGTATTTGCTATCAGTTTATGCAGAAGTCTTGGCGGCTTGGAGTAGGCTAGTTCAGAGTACGAAGGGAACATCCTTATTATTTGGAGCATATTCATAAAATATATGGAAAATAAATAATATGAAATAATGTATGGACTACCCTTAATTAATATCTTTCAAAACACTAAGTCGAGCACACTCGAGATCAAGCCAAATAATGAAAAGAAAAAGGAATAAATAAAATAAAAAATACTTTAAAAATATTTTTAAATTTAAAATAAATGAAAGTTCTACAAATTTGGTTAATTGACTTTACTAATTGTAATTTAAATGCAAAATTTTTTGTTGTTTTAAAATACATAATTCTTATTTAATTATTTTTTTTTGTTTTAGTTTTAACAACAAATTTATCAAATTAAAGTTGTTTGTAATTTGTTATTAATAAATTAGTAAAGTTTGTTTGTTTAAATTTTGTTGAGCTTTTAAAAATTATTTATTTATGTTTATATATTTTTAACTATTTAAATGCTCAATAATTTAAAATAATAATAATTAAAAATGAACTTTATATTTATAGAGTATATGTCAGATATATTTGTTGAGCTACAATTTTTTCAATTCAATTAGTCAATATAGACAGATATATATTTACATAAATATATTTATATATATATATGGATATATGTATATATATATATATATATATATATATAGATGTATGTATAGATATTCATAGAGCAATTTAAATGAGGCAACGAATTGATTCATTATTCAGTTGAGTTGTTTATTTGACGATCGAATACAATGAACGACAACGGGTTTTTGCTTAAATTGAAATTGTAATTGATGAAATGCTTGAGATTTTGCCATGCCGGCGACGTAATTTGACGTCAATTGGCGGCAGACACAGAATGTGCCCAGCTGCACGGGGCAAGCGGCAGCGAGGCAGGGAAGGCGGCGGACCCCCATTATGTGCTGCATAGTTTTCATTAGGCTAATCAAAAGGCGGCTTCACTCTGTGCCACATATATTAACCAAATTTGATGCCCCACTCGAAAGGTTGGCCAAAAAAAGGGCAAGAAGAAGAAGAGAAGCGCAGCGGGCGGAGCAGGAGGCGGAGTAGACAACTGCAAGATGCCTTTTGATGGCCAACTTGGAGTGTTGCAGTCTGTGCTGCCGCCAACACATCCGCCGCCGCATTGCACACACACACACACACACACACACGTGGCTACACACGAGTGTAGCTGCATTGGCCTTTTTTTGTGTTGTTGTCGCCCCGTTTGTGTTTTTGTTTAGCAAAATTGTTGGCTCCGCCCATCATCAGAATGGCACTCGGCATTACGCTAACATATTATAACCTATAGCGCATATCTACACACACACACACACACACATACAGATGCACATATGTATGTGCCGCAATAGTTGAAGAGTCAATGCGGTCTTTGGTTTGTCTCTTTATTTTGGCCGCTTGCAGCTTTTTTTTTGTTGCTCTCATTTTTCTTGCTTTTATTTTTCACGTTTTTTGTACCTGTGCCAAAAAAATTTTCAAATTTTCAAATGGCTTCTTCAATAGTGGCCCCAACTTGAAAATTTTTTTTCAGCCATATGTGTGTGTGTGTGTTAGAGAGAGAATGTGTGTGACTGTGTGTGTGTGTTTTCCCTCTGCTGCCTTTTGTTATCTTTGCCCATTTGGTGTATATATCTCTTCAATCTTTTTCCTTTTAATTTTTATTGTATTTCTAGTTGTTGTTGTAGTTTTTGCTTTTGGCATTCGCTGGTTGGCTGGCTCGTTAAATTAGCCAAAGTCTGAAATATCTTGTGTTAAATTAAAGACTTGCCCAGCGAATGAAAAAAGGGCTGCATTTATCTTAAGTCTGCAGTTGCAGTGTTGTTAAACGGCAGCCGAGTTGCGGCTGGTTTTGAAACGGTCAACAAAAGTGAGCAAACGGTTAATGCGAAACGGTTTTGAGGAAAAACTTATCGAAATTTGAGTTAAGTCTTTGATCGAACGGAAAACGCAAGTAAGTTGTGTAGTAGAGTCCATAAGTGAATCGGTGATAATATGTACGAATCGGTTATAAATCGGTTATGCTTGCGCATTACAATAATACTGCTCGTAACGTCAGCTTTTGAAAATCAGGCTCATCCATAGCAAGACACAGATAGAAGAAAAGACAGAGACTGAGAGAAAGAAACAAATTTGGAATGCAAGCAAAATGAAATGGAGAAAATATTTTTTTTAATATTTAAGTGAAGTAAGGAGCATAAAACGGTTATGAAATGTATGATATGGAATATAAAACATTTATAAGACGGGTATGAAACGGGTTTGAAACGGTTATGAATCGGTTATGAATCGGTTATGAACCGGTTGTGAACCGGTTATAAATCGGTTATGAAACAGAAATCTAATTTTAGTGACAAATGAGTAGCCAGAGTAATTTAAATTTGGTTTTCAAATGCTTAAGTAACTTTTATGCCTTGTTTACAAAACAGTTAGAAACAATTTAGCTTAAAAATCAAGTAGCTGAACCGGTTAAGCGACGATTATGCCTTTGACCACTTCAAGCTCTACACTTTAGACTTTACAGCAGCAGCAACTGTCACTGACTGCGATCATATGCCGTTTGCCGCACAATACACAACTCTAGCTATGCCTATCTTAGCCTTCGACTAGGTGGCTTGAGCCAGAACCTCTTTTAGCTGGGCTGCTTCTGTGGGCCGGCCGGAACAAGCAGCTGAAGGCACGCAGCTCAAGTGGGCAACCACTCGCGCTGCAGCTTATGCTTTTGGATTCTGTTCAGCAGCTATTGCCACTCAAGCACACACCCACACACACACATAGACAAGGATAGAGAAGGAGAGAAAGATGTCTCCCACACAGTAGACACTCGAGAAATGTGCTGACAAAGACCTAATCTAGGGCGTCTATAAACATGCGCCCAGTCTAACTGCAATAGTGGTAGACAGGTCGGCGAACGTGTTGATAGCTAGCGATGATGTCCGCATTGCAGTCAACGTTTGGCCACTCCAAGCGTTATGCTCCCCCAGATTTTTAATGATTGGCACGATTGTCTTAGCTACTTAATGATGTGCACAAGTGGGACAGCATCCACTACTACTCCCCAGTGGCATATACGATAGCTGCCAGTAGGTGCCTTTGCTTTGTGTCATTTTTCGTGTCAACTAGCTGAGTGCACACACTCGCACACACACTTATACATAACTTAATGAACTTCTACGACCTGCCCCGCCTCCAATTTTTTGCCGCCCTGCAGCGTAATTTAATTTTAATTTCGCAAGCAGTTCACTGGAAGTAATTGTATGCATTGAAAATGTATTTGCTGCTATCGCATGGAAAACACTCGACAGCCGGCGCGACTGAGAGACGCAAAGACGAAGGGACTCTCCTACTCAGTCAATTGAAACGCATAATGCGCGCGAAGTCAAAGCGTCAAGGAGAGACTCTTAATGCTCTTTATAAAGGATATTTCAACTTTGATTCATTTTGACTTCATAGAAAAGGTATATATATAGAGCCTTAAGAGATTAGCATTTAGAAGTCTGGTTTCTCCTGCTTAAAGCGTAACTCTTGTTGCTGCAGTTGATGAATTACAACATTGTTAACAAATTAAGCTGGTAAATATCTGAATTCAATATGGTTTATATGGGGCTTACCATGTTTTCTATATGTAAACAACTATATGACGAAAGAGATACAGTGTGAGAGAAGTAAATACTGAGAGAGATAAATAGTGAAAGGCATAGAGAGTGAGAGGGATAAATACCGAAAGTGAGCACGATAGAATCAAAGAAAAAGACAATGAGAGAGATGGAGAGTGAGTTGGATAGAGAGTGAGAGAGGTAAAGTAAAAAAAAGACTCTAGGTGAGATTGGAATTGAGAAAGATAGAGATAGATAGCTAGTGTGAGAGATACAGCAAAAAGCCGCTAGGATTTGAGAGAATTAATGAAAGATATATTCATGTTGAATAATCTTATTTCTCTAACAGTCCTAGTCTCACTTGCTATCTATAAAATTCCCTATCTATCTTACTCTTTAGTTCTCACCATTACTACCTCTTTCACTCTCTATCTCTCTCACTATCTATCTCTCTCTCTCTCTTAGAAAATTGCATTGGCATTTGCCATCAGAGTTTATAATAGCTGTCAAAAGCTTACTGATATATGACTTATATTAATTAACTTTATGTCCAGCAGCTGCTTAGATACTTTCCCTATCTATAAGGTTAATTAAATGCAAACATTTCTGTGGCTAAAGATGAACAATTTCTATCAAGATATATGAAAATATTATGGATACTATAATTGAGTCTTTGATGTACTATATTATGCTCCAATATTTGTTATCTCCAGTCCTTAACATAGATTAAAAATAAAGTTTCAGCATCTACATTGGTCTGCTTTGCAGAAACTCTTTCCAAGTCCATTAAATACAAACTTAATTAAGTAGAAACTTTTGTCTCATGAGCTGAGCAACACACGCGACTGTAGATAATTGTTGTATGTGCTCTGATCACCTCTTGAGGAGCAGGAACAGCAGGAGGGGGAGGAGGAGGATTTTGCTGTTGTGCCGCCGATTTGTGTCAAATTGAAACGAAAATTTGTGAAATACAATACGCTGAAGCAAAAGGCGTAAAAGGCAAATGGCAGAAGCCAGAAGGCAAAAGGCTTCCCGCCTTTTGCTATTTTGGCTGTGCGTTCAACTGAAATACTATT